CTGACAATTATTTTTTTAAGAATTTATGATTCATTGAAGCATCTGTGAAGCACCTGTATGATTAAACTATAATTGGTAAGTTCGTCGAGTATGCTATCAATTCTGAGGTTTGTGATAGTACGGGCAGAGCTAGCTTATTGGCCAAATCCTAGGTTGTATGGTATCGAGATATAGTCGTGAGGCCGTATTGCAACAGTCACAACGCCAAACCACACAGAAAGAAATTATTTTGACTAGTTAAATGAAACAAAATCAGTGCCTAGTAATGATGACAAGGTTACCACATCAATTATTGGTAGTTGTATAAGAACTTGTTACAGACGCCGAACCCCGAACACCTACTGCTGAACGCCGAACAGCGTCCACAAAAAATTGGATACTATAACAATATGTCTTCTGGTGGTGGTGACATAGTAATAGACTAATTTTGGAAGCACATTAAATTCCTCAATAATCAAGACCTGATCGATCATTTTTTCACACGACACAAGAATTTACGTTACTGCAACACATTGTTTTTGTTGTTTTTACGAAACCTTAATTGTTACTCAAAATTGTATTTGAAGTTTGGACAAAAAATTTAAAGTACTGACATCGTATGAATTTGAAGTTCATCACAAATACCTTGAGTAAAGTAACACCTCCACAAATGGAACAGTTTTCCAAAGTCCCGTCACGCTTTAATTGCGTCATCCGTTAACGTCATTTACTTCAACAATGCATTTATTTTGAAATAACCTAAATTGGTTAATAAAAACTTTCCTTGAAATAGATTTGTGTGTCATGTTAATAATTGTAGCCCTGCAATGCGTGTGTTTCTTATTTGCATTATGCGTTATGTTACAAACCTTGTTGTTAACAAAATTTACGTTTCATAATCTTTTTCATTTTTTAATAACTAATATACACGCTGTTGCATGATTATCATTATTGCTATTTTGTATTTAATTAGACCTAACAAATATTATTTAATGTATTTGGTTGCCTAATGCCTACAATTGTAGAAATAAGCATTTAATAATTCGTGCTGCAAAATAAGGAGCATCTATTGAGGAAAGTATCCGCTTGTAGAAAAGTTGAGTATTGATGTTGAGAAATCAGTTTTGACATCTGGGAGCGACCAGTTCCTGAACAGATAGTTTATAGAGGATGTACCTAATTCAATTTATGCAAGTGTAATTACCATTTACCAATTATCAAATAAGATAAATGAATTATCTAAAGTCGATGTCTAAAATGTGCTCTGCTGAAGTTAAAAAATAAGGCTGAACATTTTATTACCATATTGTCAATTCTAAATTTTAGTTTTCGTATTTGATAAAGGATATATTTCATATGACGCGATAGTTTGGATTTTGTCCGGATATATACTTCCTGCATGTCTGCAAGGGGCAATATTCTGGTAAAAAACAGCACTTGATCTCCTGCTGGTGTTTAATTGTCTATGTGATTCTTAAATTGGCTGCCAATTATATTCTGCTTCTGCGCAGGTTGAATCTATTAAATTCTACCGGCTATAGACACCCAATATATGTTCCCCGCTCGAGCCTGTGGTTTTTCAGATAGACTCGTTTAGGGGTTTTCGGCTTGCACGTTTAGATTTTATTCAAGTTCGAGTCAATTGATTCTTATTGGAGAATATACATTGATCTCGAAGTTGTGTCATTCAAAACCAGGGGGAATATGATAAAGATAAGGTTTGAACAGAACCAAATGTGCGAAAGAGGAACCTGTTCTCTCTTGTCAATGACATGCAAAAAATTAAACTGTAACTTTTGTCAAAGTCAATCTGACTTTTATCTGACTTAAGTTCCATGCAAAGTTTTTCAAATATCATTTCAAAATCCTTCAAATATTATTGTTTGTCACTTCAGGAACTGTTTTAGTCATTCTTTAAAATAATGTAATTGAAACACGTTTTTGGTCTTTTTAAATATATTATTAAATATAGTTATGATTTAAGCTTATCTGACAAGTTAAAAAGTTGTGTATCGTAAGTGAAATAATCAGACAGAAACAACATAGCATTCTCCATAATTCGAAGTATGTGTTAAGTGTGGGGGTACATATTCGCACGAGCTTGACCCAAGACTCTCTAAAAAGCTTTAAATCTATCCTTCTTAATGCCGAAAGGAGTCCACTTTTTGTCTGTATATTTAATCCAACTGCGCAGTAATTTTGACACCTTTCTCAGAGTTGTCCGCCCCCATTCCGAGAGAGTATAAAACCATCCACCAATCGCAGCCTGTATCTATCCGAGTTAGAACGCTAAACGATTAGAACCAAAAAGTCGCTCACTGGAAGATGTTCAAAATTATGCGAAACCAATGACTTTTGATATCAAAAAGCAGTTGCATAGTAAGGATGATAAGTCAAAAACATTAGATGACAATAGGGCACTAATTGCGTAATTAAAGAATTGTGGAGAACATTTTTACCGAAAAATTACAGCGACATTAGATCATAGCGCACTAAACATTTGAATTATTGTATTAAGATGTATCAGTCAATGGACCCACACTATCAATATATGTCGTGTGCGATGCCCCAATATGGCTACGATCAAACGACCATGATAAAGCAAGAAGGTCGAATAGAGGGCGCTGTTTCGTATTGCAGAGCGGAGGTGACGATGGCCCCAATGCAGCCGTATAACAACTCATGTCAACAGATGCCGTATCACGGACATCAGGCTCACGATCAGATCGAGATGTACACGTTGCCACAATCCCCGGGACATAGCAGGCTCCACAGAAGCTCCCCAGATCCACCTCATAGGAACGGTGCAACTATTCGAGAGAGAAACCGGATGCATTTGCTGAACGAAGCGTTCGAAGCTTTGCGCAAAGTGGTACCAAAATCAAACCTGAGTGAACACCAAAAACTGTCTAAGATCGCAACATTGCGCCTGGCAATACATTATATATCGGCACTGGGGAGTATACTCGAAAGCACAGGAGTCGCGATACGGCCAATCGAAGATGTACTAATCGCCCACGACAGGAGGGGGAGACGAAAGGGAGGAAGAAAACCTAAGGTACTCATAGATTCGGGAAAAAGAAGAGTCAAGATATGATCGCAGCAAAGGTAACAACTTATCACAATTGACAAACTTGATCATAGGGACTTACTTACAAGTACATTTAAAGATCACATTGGAATGACTTTTTAGAATTTCAAACCAGAGACATATATTGACATACATATGTCTCTATTCCAACGAATGAGTTGGGCTCACTCTATCACCTCAGCGATTCATGTACAGATGCCGAGAGTGCTTAAGAAACATTCAATGAAATGAAATTTCTACTCAGATCGGTACGTCATTTTTTGCGTTCACCCTGTCACGTACATGTACGTTTGGCCCTCGGATGAAGAAAAGATTATCATACGTTTGATAATGACAGGCCGTTGTTGTATCACTAAATTATACTATTTGAACATTATTCTATCGCTACAGTATGGGCTATGAGAAGAGACGTTGATTGTTATGGTATAGGCCGTATAATTTAGGACTGGACGAACAGCTACGTATCCTTGAGAACCACTTTACCAGAGTGTTAACAACAATTAAAGTGTATATATAGCGTGTAAGAATAATCCCTTTTGAATTATTGCTCTATAAAAAATATGGGGTTATTCATATTTGTCACTTGTGCTTTCGTAGCCGTAATGGATCGAATTGTACAACACTCATAACTAACTGAAATAACACCATGTAATAAAAGAATAATATATTTATTTATTTATTGTAAAGTATACGTTTTCTTATGTTATGTTTACATTGTACTCTTCTGATTAAATCTTATTCAACGTTCTCGGAGACAACTTATATTTTTAGTTGTGTCTAAGACAACCAAAAAGAAAAACACACCCGATTAGATCAACTTTGTTAACCACAGGGATCAGTTTAATTTTGAGACCCAGTATTAAAACGCGCAATTTCATCCTTCTTCCTACTGTGAAGCACTTCTTAATAATAACAAATACTAACACCGCACCTTAATTACCATGTTTTAAATTTACAAAATAAACTACAGACGGCGCAAGTTAGCATGTGATGAAGGGATCAGGTGTAATGGTAAAGAAGTTCCAAGAAAATGCAAGAAAATGAAATACAGCGTTCAAAAAGGACATGGCGTGATCACGTGATATGTTGTTTTGTAGACGACACTCACTTTAAGATAAGGAAGTATGTCATTATATACCTAGTACCCATATCATGTGATAATTTCCCCTGAAATATCAAGTTTACATAACATAGAAAAGTTTTTAGTCTCCGGTCTTTTGTTCGGAATACAATCCATCAGACAAAGAACGTCAACTTATTTGTCAATTGCTTTTTATACTAATAATGTAATATCTCCCACACCCGTCAGACAACATGATCAAATGATCAGTGATCATTGGAGCAAGCCACAAATATCAAGGACATAATTGAAGATGAACATTTTCAGCTTAATACTAAACTAAAGAATAAAAGAAATTTAAGAAATTTATAGTCCAGAATTAAGTTTTAACTTTGAATAATATCAAAATGGTTTAGAAAGAGTTTAATGATTTACAAGTTCATTCTTAGAATGCTTATATAAATATATCCCTGCATGTCACAATGTAAAAACGCAATTTATAATGCTGCTCTGTATTACCATACTGCCTCTGTGAATAGCATATGGAATTTACCAAACGTACCATTTCAATCTAGGTTTGGCCTAAATTTAAAAGTAAGTAAATTTGTTTTCCACACTGCAAAACACATTACAATAAATGTGCCTTACAAAGTTGAAATATTGATATTTATATATTCCAAAACAGTATTTATGATGTGAAGCATGCAAAAGTATAATGACCGATGAGATCTCATTGATTATTAATGTAGAACAAACCATATTTCAAATTTTATTAATCGATTTAAATATATACATCCTTCTTTGTATGCATATTAGAACTACACTTTTTTATCAGAGTCTATAAAAAGCATGAATCATCTTATGGAAATCTGAAAATTGAAATATAACACGAAATAGACGACAAAGGAATTGTGGACACATGAAAATTAAGGATACAATTTTCCGAATTGAGTTTCTCGAGATATCACTACGCCGCCCCAAAAACCTGACTGGAGAGGAACTCTTTGCTTCTATAACGAAACGTGTCATAGATGGCGCATCGATGTTCGTGCTTGCTCCTGAGACTCTTTCTGGTTGTAATAGGTAATCAAAAGATTTAATACTGCATTGGTTAGGAAAGATAGTACAAAACCATATATGGTGGCAAAAAGGGATATGTGAAGTAGTTATATGTAGTATCCCACAATGATGATGCGCCATACGTCATATACTGTCAAACTAAACGGTGAAAATATCAACACAGAAGATTAAATGAATGAGAAGGGATAAAGAGTGTAAAATATCGGAAGCAACATTTTAAAAAAATTATATTTATATTTCCCTCACGATTCTTGTCTTATTTTCTGAAAATTCTATTATCAAACATAGAAGATAAAAGGATTGAAGATGAATAAATAAGGGTTATGTACTGGGAGGTTTTGGATGTGGGGTTTATCCAGAGGGAGATATGCATATCTTCTGAGGGATAATCCCCATATCCAATTCCAAAACCGACCGTACATCACTGCTTTGTCTTACCAACTTACCTAAAAGTTAAGTGTATATAGATCCTAAAATAAGGTCAAAACTGTTCAAGTTTAAAAATATGTATGAGATGGAGTGGTGAGAGAAATAAATATTTTCAAAGGATGGGTATCGATATGGAGAACTGAATTCAACAATGTTTTTCTCTTAAACTAATCATTGAAAACGTTCTGTAAAAAACACGTATTTTATGTAATGTTGACTGTTTGACAACAATTTAATGCGAAAATTATTTAGAAATATTTTATATAACTGTTTTTGTTAACTTTTTTTTCTAGTGCAATTGTTTTTGCTCCTTTCTACAACTTCTTGAGAATGTAATAAAATGTCTTTCCGAACCTTGTTGGAACAAAATAGCATATACAACATGTTTTTAGACCTCTCAATATTATAGCTATACAAAGGAATTTTTGGTTGATTTTAAAAAAGTATTCAAAAAATTAAAACAAAATCCCCCAAAAATAGATATAAAATCAAGATGAACCTTTTATTTCATTAACAAGATACTTTTTTAAAATCAACCAAAATCTCCTTTGTAGAATTACAAAATTAAGAGACCTAAACATGTTATCTTTATGTCGTTTTGTTCCAATGAGGTTCGGAAAGATGTTTTATTTCACTCTGGAAACATGTTATCAAGAACAAAACAAGTGTTTGATGTGTTTTCTAAAACAATATAGATGACATTATATATATATTTTTCCAATTATATTTTTATCATTCAAAAGATGACCATTAAATTGACAATGTGTAAAATTTTCAACTTTTTTTGATGACTGATTTAAGAGAAACGTATGTTCAAAAAGTTCGCCATATCGATACTCATCTTTTGTGACAAGTTTTCGAAACTTATTCTCAACGCGTTTATCTACTCGTTTAATAGTAAATGCTCGCTATTAAATCACAAAAGAGGAGAACAGGTTCCACTAACCATTCAATCCATCGACCTCTTTGGAACACCAAACAAACCTAGTCCAACACACAGGGCTAATTTTTAATCATGCATTTTATTAATTTTGAAGTGAAAAAAGATGTGATTAAATTAAATATTGAATATTCAGTTACTTCCATATTTGGTCATATCTTTTCAGATATCAACTTATTGATGGTTTAATGATCATGAACTTATCGATTAAAAATTCTGGTATGCATTTAAAATTGAATTTCTTTTGCTAGTCAATCATTTTTGACAAGCCTCTGGAACTCTATCTTAACACTTGTACTAATTGCAATGGTTGTTGTAGTTTTATCGAAACCTTTAGAACAAGCAAGCCATGACTTTTATTTTTCAGTAATCTGTCATGTAGCAGCTCAGTGTGAAACAGATGCAGATTGCTCTACTAGAAAATGGTGCACCAGTAAAAATGTATGTAGGAAGAAAAAGGGCCTGGGAGTGGCCTGTGAGAGACCAGAAAGCTGCAAACCGTCTCTGTTCTGCCATACAGAAACATTCACATGCGGTAAGTAGGTCCACATTATGTACATCGGGAATATGTATTAAACTAACTTGACTGGTTGTTTCGATATTTCATATTTTTCTCACATTCAAAATAATCATTTTCAATTTGCACCCTTTGTTAAGAGTTTGACTTCGCATCTGAAGAGGAACTGATACCTGCAGGTTCTCAGGGTACACTTTAACTCGTATATATGACAAAATTCTGCCCAAAGACACACCGGAACGCTGAAATCACGACAGTGTGAAAAGCATGTGTTTACAACATTGACCTTCCAGTAGTCAATGCCCGAAATACGTCAATATTTTATGACATGGGGCCTTGTTATAGATTTTTCACTTATTAAACGTTCTTATGACTTGTGTCCTTGACTCACAAATTAGGTAATAACCTCGGAGAGCGATTCCGGCCGTGACCTATTTTGCAGCACTTATTTTAATGTATTTCATGATAAAAAGTGCACAAATTATGACCCCATTCGTAGCTAACTTTGTGATTAATGATTATCACCAATTTCCAGTGAGTTGTGAATTCAATGAACATTGCACTGATCCAACGAAGCCAGACTGCATAAACACATTTTGTGGTGAGTACCGTTGTTATCTGATATGTATTGTACGAAAAGTTCCATACATGGCCTTCAGTTTTCACTTTTGCACAAAGCGCACATGCATGTATCTTGATCATTAGTTCAGGGTGAACAGTTTTTCTACAATCTACGAAAATTTAGATAATTCAGTGACCTACTTTCTAAAAGTACGAACAATTTAGGTCATTGAATTTCTCCTTTGTCATATATCTATAATATTTGTTACACAAAGTAATAATCTAGGTTTGTGTACTCTTTGTGGAAAAACTAAAAGATGTAGCACGTATCCATGTAGACCATGCTAATAGAAGACGCAGAACTACCTAAATACCCCAGTACTCGAAGACTTGTTTCATACATTGTATAAACGAGCTTTTGCATTTTAGGATCACATCCAACATGTGTGAGGGAGTCAGACTGCGATCAGTACCATAATTTACAATTGTGCGTAGATGGACTTTGTGGTGAGTCATCTTTTAAGTGGGGTAGAAGTTCTGAAAGGGAACCATGACGATTGATCGAGGGAGAGGGGGAGGGGTAATAAATAAATGTTTATAAATGGCAATAAAATATCCGTTGCCTTTCAAAAAGGTGTCTATCTATAAAATAATATGTAAACACAGACGCAAAAATGGAAACAACCGAAGGAAATGGTGTACAGGGCGCAGTGAAAAGAAAAAATCCCCAATATCTTAAATTTTGATTAACGCACGAAAAACGATGTCTTAACACGCCTCAAAATCATTCAGAAAATATGTATCGCAACGCAATCCGAAAGCACTAGTTCGTGGATATGTGAGATACATCATAGCATTCGTGTTTAAATTAACCGATTGGTATTGTTTTCCCTTTCTACATTAGATATGTTTATTTAGGTCCAGTAAAAGAAGCAGGAGTTTGTGTCGAATTCAGAATCTAATTGGAAATGACAGAATTTATGCTAGCCTGGCATACAGACATTTTTCTTCTTTAACCCAATTTGGCATTCTGTTTTGCTCGAATTGTTATCAAAAAGAAAGTACAAATAATGATACACGGAGCTATTTCTATGCTTTTTCCTTTTGTATTTTAGTTGGTGGAATACGCACAACAACTACTACAACAACAACAACAACGACGACAACCACCACCACCACGCCACCAACAACAACGACGACGTCCACAACAACGACGCCCACGACGACGACGACGCCAACTACAACGACGACGACGCCAACTACAACGACGACGACACCTACCACAACGACGACGCCAACAACAACGTCGACGACGCCTACTACAACGACGACGACGCCTACCACAACGACGACGACGCCAACAACAACGACGACGACGCCTACTACAACGACGACGACGCCTACTACAACGACGACGACGCCAACAACAACGACGACGACACCTACTACAACGACGACGACGCCAACAACAACGACGACGACGCCTACCACAACGACGACGACGCCAACAACAACGACAACGACGCCTACCACAACAACGGCGTCTACTACTACACCGACTCGTTAGTAAATATCACGAGAAAGACGTTATAGCTGAGCAATTGAGATCCTCCAATTGAAGTCCATTCTTTAATAACGTACTGAATTTGTCTTTTTGCAAATAAGACTGCTGGCTTCAACAATCTGGCCTGCTTAGTGCTTACATGTACATTAAAGAGGCAAACCCTCACTTGCTCAACTATTATGTTATGGTATACTTTCCTTCACAGGCGTATTTAGCGATTTCAGTAAAATACAGGGAAACTATCATGCTTTGAGGTTTCCACATTGAATATGAGACAAGACAAAAGAAAAACTCGTTTTTAAAATCGTTGATACCCTTAACATATAATTGTGATTTGCTATTACTAATAATGCGCATAATTGGAAATACTATATATAAAAGTTCACATATTGCTTTACGAATTGCTCTATGTATAATCATTCTCGATATAATGCTGAGTAGGGTGATGCATTCGTACATTTTCTTTATTTGCAGCATGCCAAAGTAACTCAACCTGCAAAGAAATCCATCATGCTTTTATTTGCGTTGATTTCATGTGTGGTGAGTAAAATATTAAGGTGACACTGATGTCCAAAACGAGTACTATTCAATTATTTATATGTTCCATATAATATACAGGTCTCTTATACTTCCATCAACGCGAACATCAGTTCTGATCTCGCGAACTATATATGTTCTTCGCACTCGAACCACGATTCACACATCACGAACGTGAAATCTTTAGTCGCGCACCACCATTTCCTCGCTCCCGAACATATTTCTCCACTTGCGAACAGAGATCCGTGCTCGCGAACCACACACCTGATGCTCGCGTTGATAATAGTCTAGGAGGCCTGATATGTGGGTGCTAGTTGTGGACGCTTCATATAAAGGTGTATATGTACAAAACTTATAAGACATCGTCTGAAAACTTAATACATAGAGCAATCACGCTGACATCTTTTCATGGGCCCAGAATTCATAGTTCCAACGGAAAAATCGCAAGAATGCTTTATTCTGGTGTAACTATACTGTGTTCTTTTTGTGACAATTTTAGTGAAAGGCGACCCTCATATCCGGCAGAAGATAAAAGGAACAGACAAGCACCTATGTTACGATGTATTTGGGGAACCAAATCAAGTATATGAGTTTCTGAGTGAAAAAGCCACAGGTACATGATGCAGATTGGATTTATAACCTGTAAAACCTGTCTTAGTGAACACCTCTCTCTAGTGAACACATGTCTCTAGTGGACACCCTTCCTCCACACGTACTCTACTGACTTCTGAACAAATTATCCTCTCTGTAGTGAACATATACCAACACTTTTTCTCGGCAAAAATGTTCAACGTTCACAGGTTTTACTGTATTTGCATATAGTCCATGCTCTTGGCCAATCAAATTACTCCGTTGCCGTGCATCATTTTTATAGACAATAGTAATTTGTAACAACTTGGTAATTAGGACCGGACTATCGAATTGACAGATTATCTGTTCCATATTACCCTCTTCTTAAAAGAGAGCTTCGTCGTAGTTTTAACTAGATTCTGCGTTCAGGGTAGTTCCATAGAGTAGATAGGGATGCAACTTTTCAGAATTCTATCACGTTTGAATATTGAATCTTGAACGTTGGTAGTATTTCCAACAATTTCATTTACGAGATGGTCCAATTTTAAGGGTTTATTAGCATAAACTTAAATACCTAGTAAAATCATAAAAGTTTTGAAAAAAATTCTGAACATAAAAGATTATAAAAGTTTTGAATAAAAATTCTGAACTTTTTGTTGATTTTCTTAATAACCATGACAGAGATATGAATCATTTAGTCGATCACCCAATTCATACTGATTATTACTGATCTAGGTACACGAGTAAGAGCTAAATTCATAAATGGTGATACGACACTAAAATCTGGATCCCTGGCGAAGTATATTGGTGAACTACTTATAGAAACCAACACTGTTACCATTTACGCCACTAGAAGTGATATATTGTTCACATCTGGCTCAAGGTAAGATCAAGAGGGAATTACACAGTTCACTCATCGTCAACAACACAATCTTTTTATTAATCAGCTATAGATTCTCATCATCAACAATACATTCTTAATAGCCATCGACTTTCGATTCTAATCATTAACGAGAGAATATTTATTATGTATTTATTGTCATCAACTATTGGTTTTCATCATCACCAACACAATATCTTTTTCGCTTTCAACTTTCGATTCTCATCATCAACTTTCGATTCTCATCATCAACAATACAATCTTAATAGCCATCAACTATCGATTCTAATCATCAACGACACAATGTTTACAGTCATCAACTATCGGTTCTCATCGTCAGCGACACAATATATTTTTCGCCATCAACTATCGATTCTCATCATCAACAATGAAATCTTAATAGCTATCAACTATCGATTCTAATCATCAACGATACAATGTTTACAGTCATCAACTATCGGTTCTCACCGTCAGCGACACAATATATTTTTCGCCATCAACTATCGATTCTCATCATCAACAATGCAATCTTAATAGCTATCAACTATCGATTCTAATCATCAACGATACAATGTTTACAGTCATCAGCTATCGGTTCTCATCATCAGCGACACAATATATTTTTCGCCATCAACTATCGATTCTCATCATCAAAGACACTAAAATATCTCTATAGCCATCAACTATCGATTCTAATCGTCAACGATACAATCTTCATAGTCATCAGCCATCGATTCTCATTATCAACGACATAATATCTTTTTCGTCTTCAACTATCGATTCTCATCATCAACGACACAATCTTTATAGTCAATCAACTATCGATTCTAATCATCAACGACACAATCTTCATAGTCATCAATTATCGATTCCCATCATAAACGACACAATCTTTAAAGCCATCAAATATAGATTCTAATCATCAACTAAACGATATCTTTTATAACAACTATAACAGTCTCGTATCATCTTCATCATCATTCACTCCCTGTTAAACGGGCACTTTGAGTTTATTAGAGCTCGAGCTCTTTAAATGCACGTTAAAATATATGAGCTTCGAGCCAATGGATTCACCGTATTAGCCTACCAGCTCCAAACGAACTTCACCACTACATGACGTTACAACAGTGATTTCCTTGACATGTACCACTGGCGGATTAGGGGGGGGGGGGCTGGGGGCCCGCCCCCCCCCCCCTTGGGTGGGCCCAGAAAAAAAAATTGGGCCCAAAATTTTTTTTGGGCGAAACAAGGCCTTCAGGCCCTAAAAATTAGGCCTTTTTGGTCATTACTGGGCCTTTTAAGGCCTTATTTTTTAATTTCAGGCCAAATTTTGAAGAAAATGGGCCTCAAAATTTCAAAATTTGGGCCCACTTTTGGATTTTAGGGGCCCAAAAAGCGCGGACGTTTTTTTCTTATGACCTGAAATTTGGGCCCCCCCCTTGTTGGTTCTTGGATCCGCCCCTGTGTACGTAACGTGCTGTATATTTCAGACAAACGCCACGCTACGTGCACACGTGGGAGAAAGACGTGCTGTCATTTAATGGCTCAGACCAGGTGAAAGTGAGGGTATACAGGTCTGAGATGGACATACAAATAGGTCAGAACGTAGCTATAGAATCCTTCATTCCCGGGCCTTATATTTTCTTGAGAACTGAAAATAGCCAATCCCGCACTGTTCATCAGTTGTGTTTTTAATTTAGGGAAAATGTGTGGCAGTGTGTCGACACTAATAAATCCAACTCCTGCGTGATTAGATAACAATCACAATTTTAACTTAATTTGTTATTCAACTGGTTATTTGCAAATATTGATCCTGTATTAATTTAGGTCTACATCTGTGTCATATATCTATGTATCTGTGTCAAAGCCAATGAAAACATCTACACCAATGATCAAAGACCGTTAATTGCAGTAAAAACGAAATTTCAAAGTAATCTGGAATCGTGTCAATAAGTCCTAAGACATCTTGGTTCCCATTGTTTATTAATTATACCAATATTTTAGGGGATCTTGTCCATCTAGTTGTAATGAAGCATTTGACTCATCTTGACTTCATGATCGGTGAGGTTCAGAAACTAGCTGACAATGCAGCAGGGATTATGGGTAATGACGTGCTTTACTAAATACTATTTTTTCGTTAAAAAGTGACGAATAGCCATTAATGTGTTAAAGTTTAATTACTGATAATTGTCGTCATGCAAATTATAATTATCAAACTCCTGGGCATTCGGATCTTCCTTAAATCATGTTGACATAAAAAGCATCCATAATTTATTGATCACCCTTTTTACACGGATGTTTTTTATTGACCAACCTCTTTTCACAAGTGGTAAATCATATAATTGTCTATCAGGCCTGACGATTTGAAGCCAAAATATGTACTTGTGAAAAAATCTAAGAGTTTGGTCAATAAAAAGCATCCGAGTGAAAAAGCGTCCATTACTTATTGACCACCCCTTGTATATCTGGATTATTGAGGTACTTTAATCACAGAAATCTGTGCATTTTCCTTAACAAAATTGGGTCGTGGTTGTGTAAATTTTTTGTTTATTCATATTTGTTATTTACAGGTACGGTGTCGTCCCAGGGTTTATTCATCCCTTCCGAATTCTCGTACAAGGGCACAGTCCATGTGGCCGACTACAGCGTCACTGTTAACTGGAGTCACTCACTTAACTGCTGGACAATACCTGAAAATGCCCGGGGATTTGATGAACTCTTGGGCAGATTTTTGCAAAAATGTTTTTGGTATTAAAAGAGCTAATACAGTCATTGTAGATCATCAGTTGAACTTTGGAAAGATTTTCTTGTTATCACTTTGGAAAAATGGATGGCTGATGCACAGTGTTCCATTATTCTGTAAAACAGATGAAAAACAATAGAATTATCATATAATACCTTGGTACATGTACATATTAGATAAACAAATGTATAAATAAAAATTGAGTGTTTGGAAAGAACCGAACGTAAAAATACAATATGAGTTGTGTAAAATGAACATGTAATTGCAAACATCATCACCATTCATAGTCATCAACCATTTGGAAGAGATCATTGCATAAACACACAATTTACATTAGAATTTACAATTTATAAACGTGTGACAATTAATTATGAATTAACTGTGAAAATATTCTTGTTAAGCCATTGTACCCTCTCAATCACGAACATACCCTACTAGAAGTGGAAAGAGGAGTGGTCTCGTGGAAGAGAATGGTTCCTAAAAGCTTTTCGAATCATGGATAATGTGTTGGCATTTAATGTTCCAAAATTTTGTTAAAAATTGGCGATTTCGAATTTATAGTTTAACAGATTTAAAAGATGGCGTATTTGCTGGCGATAGCATGTGTGCACTGTGCAGTCAATATGCCTATCTCAACACATCTTTTTCATACCACTTTCTTACCATTGTTTTCTGAGTGTATTCCTTTCTGAGCTTTTCTGAGCTATTCTTTTCATATTAATTATATGAGTTATCCCTTTCCAGAGAAATAATAGAGGAATAAGAGTTCCAATGCCATATAAACGTGCTTTGGTTAAAATATCAAAGCGTAACTAGGCCTACAGTATGATTCGATGTCATATAAACGCCTGATATAGTTCAAATATCAAAGCATTACGTCAACTATGAAGTAGTTTGATTCGATAAAAACTAAAAAAGGGAAATCTTCCTGTTAGAAAATGCTATGTTGTCAAAAGTGTGAATGATTTTTTGGACGACCCTGTATACAGTACAGTATTCTCCGTATTTATTCCCCTGGATTTATTTACTCTTTTTGGTCTTGAATATTGAAAGATCGGGGTCAACATGACTTCCAAGGTTTACACAGCATATATCCCCCACAAAACAATAGAGGAGAGTCAAGACTCTAGGCATATTGATGTGTGGTACGCACAAAAATACAGGTATGCAAATTAACCAATCATGAAGATTTACAGTAAAACTTTTCCTCAATAGGTGGCGCGTCGCTAAAGTAGGTCAGGTGTAATTTTCGATTTGAGAATCGATGGTTAAATTTTCTCGTTATGTTTACAATTTAGGAACATAAATGTGGATTAAAACAAGCAAAAGTTGGCAGAATTTCATAGGAGTATATAAGGAATATGCTGAAATTGTTTATATAAGCACATAGTGACTATTACTTCAGGATTTATAACTTTCAAAATGAGGAGTTATGAAGTCCCTTGGTTGGCTAATTTTTTTAGCTCTTGGCCTCATATAAACTTGACATTCCGTGATATCAACTCTACATTTGATCCAGAGAGTAGCAGTTATAGAGAGGTAAGCATATCTACAAGTAAAATATTGCTAATGAGCTATAGGAAAATAATGACTGATAATATCATTAGTTGTTACATGATGTACTTATCCTGTGCCGGGTCCCGTGCCTATCCCTGCACGTTATACTACGCTCTGCCTCGTTAATAGATTATATTACAGTTTGGTAGCGCTACCCCACAACCAATGTCCCTGACAACGCAGGTAATAAATCGCCTGTGACCATTTGTATAAGTTGTAGATGTATAATTACAATATCGGAGTTTTTGGCACATATAACATACAAAAATTGCATACCTCAATAAATTCTAAAGTAATATTGAATGTTCGGCAGAACAGGGAAATTTTCGTTTTTAGTAGTCATTTTGCTTGTTATTTAGCCTATTTCAGCTGTCAAAATTCCTCCATCTTTTGGTCCATCCAGGTGCTGTTGCACCAGATCTGGAGTGAAAAGAGGGGATTCCCTGTTACCTACTGTCATCTTATATAGAAGTGCATTTTTCCAGATGAAAAATGAATATTTCCTCAGGACGTCAAGTTAAAGTTGATTAATAGATCAGGTCATGCACCATAGCTATATAACGCATCAGTATGTATATGGTATATGTGTTAAACAAGTGAAGTTACTTTGCCAGATTCTCATCTGGTGGTATGGCATGTCTTCGTTGAATGATAAAATATTTAAGATAATTACTTCTTGAAACTTGAAATTTGGGGAAGTTGACATTTAACTGACTCGAAGGGCTTGAATATTTAGACATTTGAAACAAACATACTTGTGAACCCTTAAGCAAGAATGGATACCAACAATGTTCTAACGGTGTTGTCTAAGATTTTTCAGCCTGGGAAATCTTACCAATTTTGACAAAAAAGACTGATCAGATGATTGTACTTCTCTGATTTAGACCCTTTTCAATAGTTGGTCTAGCTTCTTGTTAAGAGATCTAATACAATAGGTAGGCTAGTTTGACATTAGAGGAAGTTGATAAGTATGATATTTCAATTCTTCATTAATATAAACAAAACTAGATTCAATAGATTTTATCAACTAGGTTATTATTCAAATTCTAAGCTGTCCAAAACACTCATTTGCTTCAATTCCTGGAGATATCTTTGTCTCTGTTATTGTCAATGCCGTATGTAGCATACCTGTATATGTTATTGTAAATTGCAAGCCCAGTGTTAGTGCTACATAATGTATAAAGCATGGAGACTCCAGGAGCCTACTATTGATTGCTCAACTCACGCAGATAGACAATAGATATCAGAGCTAGGTTGCTTTGTTGTTCTTCTTCAATGCTAATTCAATAATATTCATTTATGCTGCCTGTATGCTTTTTGCAGCAATGCAAGAAACAGTTCTCATCTTCAGCTCCATTTTTATTATTTTGGGAGATTGTTGTCTGCTTGCGGGTGTCTCATTTTTTGTTGCATATTTCCAGACAAACCTTATCAATAGATTTGAAAGGGATGATTCTTGGTCTTGAGTTTTCGGCATACAGGGTTCAGTTTGATCACCACCATTAAATAAAAATATGGTTACAAACTTACAATCCAAGCGATCTGATTGGCCCATATGATGTTAATATATCCTCTATTTTTGGTTATAATACTGACAAATACTGATTAGATTAGATTCTTTTTGATGGGTAAAAATCTGAAAAATGCAAAATTTTTGTGATGGTATACAAAGTGATTAACATCTTTTTATAAGATTACCATAACTGAGGTACATTTATTCTAACAGATGTTCTTACTTTAATTTGATGATAGCCTAATTTGTCTGATTATATCACAAGTACATGTTCCCATGCATTAAATTACAGTAAAAACTAATTTTTAGCTGACATGGCTGAGAGGGCCTGTAATCTGACATCGTAAAACTATAAAGTATAGTGAGGAGAATTCCATTTCTATCAATTTCAGTTCATGTCCCTTAGACAAGATATAGATTGTGCCTCTTCGAATCACTGGAAGCATTAAACCCCATTGCTATATGATATTCTAAATCTTAATTACCCCAATTTGACTAGTCTATGTTATTTTTACATAAGAAATGAAACAGCAGGGCTCAGTATGTATCTACCTTTTATATGAGGTTTTGAAAGTCATTTTCCTGTTTGTTTTTGCAGGTTATTATGGTTTATAGAGGTTTCCATGTTTATTTTCTTTTGGTTTTGTGGTTATGTTACCCAGTTTCAAGCACAAATTGTGATTTTTCGAGATGTTTTGGATGATGGTCAAAATGATGAATTAGACAAGCAAAAATTTGAAAAATTAAAAAGCATATAACAAGACATTTTTCAAAGGGTTGTCAAATCTTTGGACATTTTGTCATTTTTATTTTATTTTATCATTTTGACAAGGAGAAAACAGATTTTTAACAGGATAGCATGTTATTGTAAAATTTTCAAGAAGGAACAGCATCTGGTTGTTCTAATGGTGGGAAAATCACTTTTAATGTTCAGGTACAGATGCACTAATGCAGTTGTCACACTTGCTCAAATTTTCAGCATCGGCACCCGAAGGGTGAGTATTCTTTCAAAATTGTATTCTGTTTTGAAGAAAATACTCATCGACCAGTTTCCAGTGTGGAAGATAAAGGAAATGTGACCACTGCATTATATGTGATCATATACCTAGTCCTGTATCAAGTCCTTGAATGTAATGCGGCCCTCCTATACTTAATGCCTCCTAATAGTGAAGTAACTAAAAGAGAGGGTGGATAGGGTACTGGAGACTTGATGCAAGACTCTCATATTTGTATTCCTCCAGGGTCAGAGCCTTAGTATATGAGATAGTGTACATGAAGCTCTCTTTTAAATATGCAAAATCAAACCATCAGAGAGGCTTATTTAACATGTACCATTATGCTGTTTATAATTGTCTTTTGGGACTCTTATGCCAGCAAGGATCAATACAAGTCTTGTAGTCTGAAAACAACACAGATTAGCTGCCCTTTAGCTATTGGATACAGAGCAATACCTTACCTACATTTTGTGATTTATCATGGTCTCTCTTTATCCATCTAGTTTGTCTATTAAGGGACATAGTACATGTTTTGAATCCCACAATACTAATACCTACCATTAGCTTAAGTATCCTTCGTGGTGAACCATACTCTGGAGAGTATATTGTGAATCTATGCTGAAATACCCCTAGTGAAGTAATGATTAGAAACAGAGTGCCAGGGTTTCTGGTTTATGCATGAAGTGATTTAGGGGTATCATCTTCACAGAAAAGAAGATCTTAAAAACTAATACCCTTTAACTTCTGTTGAAAAAGTTAGTCTGCCATTGACAGGGTTTTATCCGGAAATGTCATTGGTAAGCAGTCATTCTCCTAAGCAGGTAGATGTAAGCAGTAGAATACAAAAACAATATTCATTTTTTTGTCAATTAAACTACACTATTGAAAACTCCATGAAAACATATGTTTCAATCTCAGTTATGTTGTGGTCACATTTGCTCAGATTTTCAGTGACTGGCACCTGGCCGATGCGTATATTATACGAAATTGCATTCATTTTGAACAAAAGAGCAAGTGTGACCCCAGCATAACTACATGCATTATGTCTTTGTTTATCTACTTGTTATATACCCTATTATTAGATATTATTTCTAATATTGTTACGTATTCATAGTTAATAACGTTGAAACATTACAGTAGCCTGACACGCCAAATG